TGCTGTTGCTGCTACTGCTGTTGCTGCCCAGGGGTCACCGGGCAACGACTGCTCTGAGTTGCTGCCGCTGCTGCTGCTGCTGCTGAACTCGGGGAAGGGACAAAAGACAAAAATAAATGCGACTTCGTAGATTTTTAGTTTCCCAGTTTAAAACTACACACAGGAGCAGCAGTAACAGCAGCAGCAGCGCAGCAGCAGCAGCTACAAGGCCCCGGGGCCGGAGGCCCCCCTCTGGACACTGCAGCAGACGTCCGCAGCAGCAGCAGCAACAACAACAGCAGCAGCAGCAGAAGCAGAATTTTCTGTGTTTCAAGATAGCAGCAGCAAATAGCACCACAACTGCAGCAGGCGAAGCCGGGGCCCCAGCAGCAGCTGTCGAGGCCCCCGAGACCCTGAACCACGCGAGGCGGCCTGCTGCTGCTGCTGCTGCTGCTGACGCACACACCCTTGCAGTTGCTGCTGCTGTAGCTGCAGCAACGCCACCACGGACTGGCAGCTGCAGCAATGGCAGCAGTCGCAGCTGCAACCGCAGTAGGGGCGACACTAAGAGCAGCAGTAGCAGCAACGCTGCCACAGCCGCAGCAGCAGCTCCTGCACAGCAGTAGCAGCGACTGCAGCAGCTGCTGCAGCAGCAACTGCAACACCAGCAGCCGCACAGCAGCAGCAACTGGCGACCTATCCCTCCCCGTTGCCTTGCCACCATTGCCTGCACTATATGTGCTGCTGGAGCCTTCCTCAGTCGCTGCTGCTGCTCCTGCTGCTGCTGCTGCTGCTGCTGTTGCTGCTAGGGTCTGACTGCAGCAGCAGCTCGGGTTGTTCTTGTGCATTTGCCTTCCCGTCCCCTCGCGATGGAGGGCCCAGAGCTTGCTGCTGCGAAAGGCAGCAGCAGCAGCAGCAGCAACTGCTGCTGCAACCATCAGGGCCCTGGAACGGGGGACGCCTTCCCGCCCCCCCCCGCAGCCAAGGACGCCGGAGAGCAGCAGCAGCAGCAGCAGCAGCAGCAGCAGCAGCAGCAGCAGCAGCAGCAGCAGCAGCAGGGTTTTGAAGACGTCGAGGCGTACATGGTGTGCCCCGCCACGGCGGCGTGGGCCCTATCCGAGCTTCTGCGCAGCAGCTCAGCACCAGCAGCGGAACCAGCAGCAGCAGCAGCAGCAGCAGCAGCAGCAGCAGCAGCAGCAGAGGAAGACGTGGTGCGGGCCTGCCAGTGGCTGGTGCTCTCCGGGTGTATCCGCAGGGTCACCTGGCGCAGCCCCCTCGTGCTGCAGGGCGAGCTGCTGCAGTGTGGGGTTGTGCTGCTGCCGCAGCAGCAAACAGCAGCAGCAGCAGGAGACCCTGCTGCTGCCAGGGCCTGGCTCGCCAAGTACGCCGCCCTGGCCTGCTCCGTCGACCTGCTGCTGAAGGACGCTAGCAGCAGCAGCAGCAGCAGCAGCAGCAGCAGCAGCAAAGGACACTCTGCGCTCTCTTGTCAGTTTTGGGAGGCCCAGGCCTTTCCCATAGACTCCCAGGAGACAGTTTCTGCTGCAGTCATACCTTACACCTACATACCAGCAGCAGCAGCAGCAGCAGCAACAGCAGCAGCAGCAGCAGCAGACGCGGCAAACGAGCCTCAGAGAGAAGCCCTCCACTGCTGCATCATCTGCGATGTCCGAATACCCATGAGTACGCGGCCTTTGCTGCAGCAGCAGCAACTGCTGCTGCTGCTGTGTTCGCTGCTGTTGCTGTTGTTGCTGCTGCTGCTTTGCTTGCTGTTGCTGCCGTTGCTGCATTGCTTCTGCCCTTGTCATTTCCGGTTCGCTGCTGCTGCTGCTGCTGCTGTGCGCTACATTCCCTCGAAGTTGCGGCTGCTGTTGCTGCTATTCTGTTTGCGGCTCTGTTTCTTTCGTTGGTGCTGCTGCTGCTGCTGCTGCTGCTTTGTTGCTGTGTCTTTCGTTGCTGCTGCTTCTCTGTGCTGCTGCGCACAGGGCTGAGCTTGCTGCTGCTGTGCTGCTGCTGCTTGGCGTGCAGCTGCTGC